AAAACGTGGCGCTCCCATTGAGAACAACACACTAGCCACAGGGAAAAACACATTGGTGGACACGCGCCTAAGTCTACGTCCTACATCATCCACTGGAACACCACTCTATTGTGAACACGCATATGACAGTTAGCAGTTAGATATTTTTCTTACACAAATGCAGAAGGCCTTTATTAACCCCTGGAGCCGTGTGGAGCACTTTTTATGATGGATGGATGTACTTTTTTGAGCTTCAAAATCTCAACCCCCATTCACTGCCATTATAAAGCTTGGAAGAGCCAGGACATTTTTAAAATAACTCTGACTGTATTTGTCTGAAAGAAGAAAGTCATATACACCTAGTATGGCTTGAGGGTGAGTAAATCATGGGGTCATTTTCAGCCTTGAATGAGTCCGGTTTCTCTGGGATTTTGTTCTCAGGATGTCAAAGCCCAGTGTACCATCCCGCTCCTGGGTTACCAGGTTGAAGATGTCCAACGGTCTGTGGATCATCCTCCCACCAGCTTCCGTCTGTGCCAGTCCAAATCTGTCCACTGCTTCACTGCCGACACGGAGGAAGTGAAACTGCGCTGGCTAAAAGTGATACACAAGGCCGTGATCGGGGAGATGCCAGAATGCCAGACGCCAGTCGATGACGACCTTGCCAACGGCTGCCATGAAGGCGTGCCTGATGGTACCTGAAAAGACAAGGCAGTTTTCCAGCTTTTGCACTGTTACGCGTGTAACTCAGCGGAATAGAATGTTGATTAGAATGTGAAACCTTACAGAACAGATTGGATTTGTTTGGGAGTGTATAAATAGATTTTTCATTGCATACTATATGCAGTCAGTTGATTAATATCAGATATTTTAATGTATTATAATGTCGACCTCAGAATCAGACTGGTAAAAACATTTAGTGTGTGATTATGTAAATCATTATATTGTCTTAGTTTACGAAAGTTTGTTAGCAGACCAATCTCAGCAAAGTCCGAATTATGCTTTGTGATTTATTAGCCTTTCTCTTTGTGACATCATGTTTTATGTATATTTTTAATTTGTAATGTTAATATGCTGTTTGTCATTGTCACTGTTCCTAAGATTTATGCATTTTATTGCTTTTTGTAAAGTAGGACATTGACATTAAAATTAATTAATAAAGGTTAAGCTCTATTGCCTTAATCCTTAGACCTCTCTGTAGCTTAGACCTCTCTGTAGCTACCATCTGAAACCCTAGAGACCAATTTCAACACCTGAGCAACAGCCTAACAACCAATAAGAACGCTGTAACAACAACAACCTGGCTACCATCTAAAATCCTTGAAAGAAATTTGAACACCTAAGCAACACCCTAGCAACCAGTCAAAATGTTGTAGAAACAACGTAGGTAACATCTGAAACCCTAGAAACCACTTTGAACATCTAAGCAACAATTCAGCAACCACTCAGAACTTCCGTAGCAACATTTTAACTACCATTTGAAACCCGAGAAACCACCTTAAAGAAACCAATTAGAACGCCTAAGCAACACCCTAGCAACCACTTAGAACACCATAGCAACATCCTAGCTACCATCTGAAATCCTATAAACCAATTTGAATAACAAAGCAAACACCCTAGCAACCACTCAGAAAACCGTAGCAATATCCGTGCTACCATCTGAAACTGTAGAAATCATTGTGACCAACTAAGCAACAACCTAGCAACCACTCTGAACACCTTAGCAACCACTTAAAAAATTAATCACTTAGCAACATCTATCTTAAACTCAAGGTGAAATCACCTTGAACACCTTAGCAACCACTCAAGTTTCAGTTTCCACATCAGTAGAACAGACAAAAACACGAAATTACACCATCAAAAACCTAAGAAAAGCCAGAATAACAACATAAATGGTCCTTTTCAACTGAAAACATTTTAGTCTTCATGCCAGGATGACATAAAAATATAAATATACAAAACAGCACACAGAGAAAATGTTAATGTGAATCATGTGTGAATACTGTGTTTTTGTCAAACTTTTTGTCAAAATTTAAGTCTTATCAGTCTTAAAGCACTTCACGTTTCTCACGATATAAACGGAGGCAACAGGAGGAATACGGTTGCTTTTCAAAAGTACTGTCCTGGAGCAGATGAAACATTTACATTTAGTCATTTAGCAGACGCTTTTATCCAAAGCGACTTACAAAGTAGAAGCAATCAGACCAACGAGAGAGCAACAATATACAAGTGCTGTGACAAGTCTCAGTTAGTCTAGCACAGTGCACATAGTAAGTTTTTTTTTTTATAAATACCAAAGACCAAAACGAATAGAATAGGTTAGAGCTAGTATTAATTGGTCAGGTGATGGCGAAAAATATGTCTTTAGATGTTTTTTGAAAATGGCTAAAGACTCAGCTGCTCGGATTGAGATAGGAAGGTCATTCCACCAGCTGGGGACAGTCCAGGAAAAGGTCCCTGAGAGTGATTTTGTGCCTCTTTGGGATGGCACCACGAGGCGTTGTTCACTTGCAGAACGAAAGCTTCTGGAGGGTGCGTAGGTCTGAACTAGAGGTCTTCTCGTGTCCTAAAATATGTACCCAACCCGAATCACTTCTTACCCGAACCCGACGTGCATAAATAAATTTTTTTAAAAGAAAAACCCGACCCGAGACAGACCTGATGAAATTAGACCCGAGTCCGACATGACCCGACGGCATTTATTTTCGAACCCGACTGGACCCGAACGTAAACGGCATTGACGTGTGTACAGCCTGCAGCCCCGCAGTCAGTCAGGAAAAATCCCGGTGTCCTGTTGACTGATTTGGCCACTTCTCCATTACTTTGATTTATTTAACATTTATTCAATTTATTATTAGGTTACTTTATATTAGTGCCTGCCTGATGGATACAAGGTATGGACCCGTGAAGACCTCTAGTCTGAACTAGCGAGTTTAGGTATATTGGTGCAGCGCCAGTGGTTGTCTTGTAGGCAAGCATCAGTACCTTGAATTTGATGCGAGCGGCTATTGGCAGCCAGTGCAAGCTGAAGAAGAGAGGTGTGACGTGAGCTTTCTTCAGCTCGTTGAAGACCACTCTGGCTGCTGCATTCTGGATAAGTTGCAGAGGCTTGATAGTACAAGCAGGAAGGCCCGCCAAGAGAGCATTACGACAGTCCAGTCTGGAGAGAACAAGAGCTTGGACAAGGAGTTGTGCGGCCTGCTCTGATAGGAAGGGTCTGATCTTCCTAATGTTGTATAAGGCAAATCTGCAGGACAAAAGCAGCAGACAGATTACTCCAGAGGAGCACTGAGGATTTGGAAGCTGCTCTTGCCAGTCTCAGGGATTCAGTAACCGAGAGCAGTGCGGTCTCAGTTGAGTGGCCGCTTTTGAAGCCAGATTGGTTGCTGTCCATGAGGTTGTTCTGTGCAAGAAACATAGAGAG